GTGGCTTCTTGTCACAGAATGAGGCAGAAAATATGTTCCATAGGCTACTTTAAAAAATACATAGATTAGCAATGGATTATAAATATTAATTATTATTAGTGGTTGACAGATATTGTTTTTTTGACAGCCGATGCCGATATCTTTGAAAGCAGGGTGGCCGATATTAAAGCCGATATAATTTGATTTATTTTAATTAATATTTAAGAAATTTGAAATAATTTGAAAATTGATTAAAAAATAAACGTGTTAAATAAACATACTTCTGGGAAAATACTTTGTCATCTAAAGTATAAATATTTAATAAAAATATAATTAAAAAGGAAGTCAACACTGTAACCACCAGGGCACTCAGTATTCTGGGAAGTTTGTATGCATTAATCATTTTTTTCCAAATAAAGCCAAGGTAACACTCATTTTACATACAGCACACAGTGAAAATGACATGAATATGACCGTGGGAAAATGCATAAAGAGCAGCATAATTTAAAATCGAGTTTAAAGTTTGTCGATCGCGCGTCTCCAGTGAAGCTGAACTCTCCTCCTGTCAGCATTCAACTCACACAGACCGACTGTCACACAGAGAACACGCGATCATGCAGGATACACATGCACACTTCACAAGATCTCACAACTGGATCCGACTAAGTTTGCAAGGTTTTTGAAATTGGATGTTTATTAGACATTCAAAGATTTGTTTAAAGGCCGGAGGGCTAGAGTGAGCGGAGGCCAGAGGGCTAGAGTGAGCAGAGGCCGGCGGCCGGCAATTTCGATGAAAGAGCGTCCGGAAGGCTTGCGGCAACCACATGTGACGACCCCGGGCTGGACTCCACTTCATCCATGATTTCCTCCGCAACCAGCACAGATCAGCTCGACGAAGCAGCTATCGTCCTCTTTTGGAAGGCCAAACAAAGTAGTTTTGCTTTCACAACGAAACACAGCGTCACACACAGTGGCCTAGAGTGAGCAGAGGCCGGCGGCCGGCAATTTCGATGAAAGAGCGTCGGGAAGGCTTGCGGCAACCACATGTGACGACCCCGGGCTGGACTCCACTTCATCCATGATTTCCTCAGCAACCAGCACAGATCAGCTCGACGAAGCAGCTATCGTCCTCTTTTGGAAGGCCAAACAAAGTAGTTTCGCTTTCACAGCGAAACACAGCGCCTTCACGACATGGCGGCGGCAACAACAACACTACAGCGAGAATAAAGGTTACGCCTTCTTTCTTTGCGTGAACATTTGGGCGGCGTTATGCAAATCTTCCCAGATAGTGATGTAGGTATGTGGGGGCGTGTTAGAACGAGCCATTTTAGGTAGGCATGGCTGACTCTTAACTTTTATAAAAGAATATCTCTTTGAGACTTCAGTCTTTGCAACTTTACAGATCTTTTTTATGCACCAAGAGCTTGTAACACTCCAAAGAGAAAGGAAAAATTGAAATTGCATCGTATGACCCCTTTAAATGATATAAATACGATAAAAATACATTTTAATTCCTTTGTTTAACCGTTCTATCTGATTATTAGACAGACTTCTATCCATATTTAGACAGAATTGTTAAGGACAACAGCGAACAAGAGGGAGAATGTGAGCACTGTGTGTTCAGGTGCTGCCGTTTTCAGCGCAGTCAAAATAAAAGTCAGTCGCACCGTCAAAATAAAAGTCCCGCCTCGAATGCATCAGCCAAACAGAAACTTATCGGCAGATGCCGATATAAAAAAAAAAAAAAGCCAAATATCGGCCGATATATCAGTCGACCACTAATTATGAAAATAACAGATGGCTTGAATAAAACAGATAAACTATATTGTCGCAGTCGAGTGTTTATTGTCTTTGTTTTATCATTCAAATGTTTATATGTTCGGTTTACTCAATTAACTTACAGCTATAATAGCGATGCCTTTGTCCATATAAGGGATTTCCTGAGTTTTCTCTACTTCTGTGACTGGATATGTGGATTTTCTGTGCGAGGGCGCCCTCTGGCATCCAGTATGCATGAAACAGACATCATGTGTTTATAGTGCTAATGGCCAATTCATAATTTTTTGGAGAATTTTTTATTTATTAATTTTTTTAATAAGTATCGGTTCAGGGACCATTTAGGCACTGGAACCGTTTTAAAAGTATCGATTTGGCACCAGTATCGAAAAAGAAAAAAAAAACATTCCCAACCCTAGTCATTTTCCTGTGGCTCAGTGGTAGAGCATTGCGTTAGCAGCGCAAAAGGTTGTGGGTTCGATTCCCAGGGAACACACATACTGGTACAAGATGTATAGCCTGAATGCACTGGAAGTCGCTTTGGATAAAAGTGTCTGCTAAATGCATAAATTATTATTTTTTAAGTCGGAGTCATGTGACTTACCAGTGGCCAGATAGTATCCATTCTCAGAGAAGGCGATGGACGTCACGGGACCTGAATGTCCGGGGAAGTTGGCTACATTGGTCCGTTCCTTCAGATCCCAGATCTTAATCTGAGAATCTGCCGTGCCAGTGCCGAAAATCAGACCGTCAGGATGGAACTGAGCACAGGTCAGAGCTGAAGGGAAATAAGAAAGGCTTTACATTTTCCATATGTGAGCAATCAAATTTAAGAGCAGGGGCAATATAGCTAACAAAATAAAAGACATTTTTCAGCCTTCAGAGATATTAAATGCTTTATATTTATGTGGCACATATACATTTGCTCAAATGATTTTTTTCCCAGTCAAGCACCAGCATTACATCCAAAAGCCAAGCTTCTAAATTCACAATGCAAGACATTAAATACAGTAAAAATAAGACATTTTCCATTAAATAAATCTGAACTGAGCATGTGGAACTAGTTCAACTGGTACAGTATTTAGGACGCTTATCACCAATGTAAAGTAAGCCTGGGCGATATGGACCAAAAATAGTTTCTCTGTATTTTTAGACTGAGTTGACAATACACATAAAAAGCATATTAAAATCACCACTAAATTAGGGATCAATAAATGATAATTATATTGTTTTTCTATTATATAACATTATTGTTCTGTTCTATTGATTGTTTTATGGTTGTATACATTTGTTTCCTGTTAACAATTTCCTTAAAGGGGAAGTTCACCCAAAAATGAAAATTAGGCTGTGTTTTACTCACCCCTGAGGCATCCTAGGTGTATATGACTTTCTTCTTTCAGACGAATCCAGTTGGAGTTATATAAAAAAAAAATTTTTGTCTTTGATCTTTCAAGCTGTTTAATGCCACTCAGCGGGTGTTGCATGCATCAGTCCAAAATAACTTAAAAATCACCCATTCATTAAAAAAAAAAAAAAAAAAAGTGTCTCACACGGCTCCGGGGGGTGAAAAAGGCCTCCTGAAGCGAATCGATGTGTTTTTGTAAGAAAAATATCCATATTCAAAACGTAATCACTTGAATCTAGCCTGCGCTCACTGTTGTACATGGAAGCAGCTCCGGGTGGATGACGTATGAGGTCAGCGCTGCGCATGCGCTGCTCAGAAGTGACGCACACGGAAACGCAGCGGATCAAAAACAAAACAACGGTCAAGAATTAGAAGTACAAAACGAGGATTTGTAAAGAAGAATGACGGAGGATTTCGATATAAGCCAAGAGGAGACTGGTTTTCCTTTGCTAAAGTAAGGAAACTTTGCTTCGTTTGATCCTGTAAACAAACGTTGGTTTTCACGAGACTCACCGGCGCATGAGCAGCACTGAACTCACACGTCATCTGCCCGGAACTGCTGGCGCAAGCTACATTAAAATGATTATTACGTTTTGAATATGGATATTTTTCTTACAAAAACGCATCGATTCACTACAGAGGGCCTTTGTTCACCCCCCAGAGCCGCGTGAAACCCTTTTTTTATTTTTTATGGATGGGCTTTTTTTTAAGTTCTTTTGGACTGAAGCAATGCAACACCCGCTGAGTGGCATTAAACAGCTTGAAAGATCAAATACCATTTTTAATATAACTCCGACTGGATTCGTCTGAAAGAAGAAAGTCATATACACCTAGGATGCCTCGGGGGTGAGTAAAACAGCCTAATATTTATTTTTGGGTGAACTATCCCTTTAACAGTTCTATTAATGATTTCAGTACTTTTGAAGAAAAAGGAAATGCAATTTGTGTTTTCATTGCCCTGAAAGACTTCGAACCAATGCATCAGAAATTCAACAAATACAAGAAATATTTTAGAATACATTGAGAACAGCCAATGGAACTAATCCTAACATCAAATCATTGTTTTTTTTATTAAGCCAGTACTGAATAACAGCCAGTTTTCAGCCCCCAAGCTTAAAAATAATACAGAAAAATTCATATTGCCAACACAAAAATAAATATATACTTAAAGGGATAGTTCACCCAAAAGTGAAAATTTTATGTTTATCTGCTTACCCCCAGGGCATCCAAGATGTAGGTGACTTTGTTTCTTCAGCAGAACACAAACGAAGATTTTTAACTCCAGCCGTTGCAGTCTGTCAGTCATATAATGTAAGTGAATGGGAATCACGGCTTTGAGAGTCAAAAAATAATAATACACAGCCAAAACAAATTAAAACCTGCGGCTCGTGACAATACATTATGTGTAAAGACACGAAACGATCGGTCTGTACAAGAAACTGAACAGTATTTATATAATTTTTTACCTCTGATCCACCGCAATGTCCAACTGTCCTGAGCGCGTTCACAACAATCGGCGTGTGATGCGTGTACGTGCTCTGGCATAGTAGACTGAGACATATATATATATATATATATATATATATATATACACAGTGGGTACGGAAAGTATTCAGACCCCCTTAAATTTTTCACTCTTTGTTATATTGCAGCCATTTGCTAAAATCATTGTTAATTTTTTTTCCTCATTAATGTACACACAGCACCCCATATTGACAGAAAACACAGAATTGTTGACATTTTTTGCAGATTTATTAAAAAAGAAAGACTGAAATATCACATGGTCCTAAGTATTCAGATCCTTTGCTGTGACACTCATATATTTAACTCAGGTGCTGTCCATTTCTTCTGATCATCCTTGAGATGGTTCTACACTTTCATTTGAGTCCAGCTGTGTTTGATTATACTGATTGGACTTGATTAGGAAAGCCACACACCTGTCTATATAAGACCTTACAGCTCACAGTGCATGTCAGAGCAAATGAGAATCATGAGGTCAAAGGAACTGCCTGAAGAGCTCAGAGACAGAATTGTGGCAAGGCACAGATCTGGCCAAGATACAGGTCATCACAATGGAAGACGATTTTGATATATCATCAGACAATGTGGAATTTTTTGCCCAACCGTATTTATTTGACATCACGCGCCGGATGTTGTGAACGCACTCAGGACAGTTGGACATTGCGGTGGATCAGAGGTAAAAAAATTATATAAATACGGTTCAGTTTCTTGCACAGACCGATCGTTTCGTGTCTTCTTAAGACCTCAATGAATCGTCACGAGCCGCAGGGTTTAATTTGGTTTTGTTTGTGCATGTTTTTTTGACTCTCAAAGCCGTGGAGCTTATTGACTGCCATTATATGACTGACAGACTGCAACGGTTTGAGTTAAAAATCTTTGTTTGTGTTCTACTGAAGAAACAGTCACCTACATCTTGGATGCCCTGGGGGTAAGCAGATAAACAAAAAACTATTTTTGGGTGAACTATCCCTTTAATATCTGATAAATTGCTTAGCCCTATCCGACAGATAGGAATTCTTACCACATCCAGCGGTCTCATCTGTGACTTTAGTCAGGACACATCCAGTTTGGATATCCGAGAAGGCCCAGTACTACAACACACATACAATTTAATGCATTACACTCTGACAGATAGAAAACTGCTTCAAAGAAACAAAGGTTTTGAAAAGTTATTTTCACAAAAGTAGTGAAACTATGAACCACAAAAACAAATATTCATTGAGTATAATGTAATTAGTAGCATGATGTTTTTGCGTTGCTTGTGTACTGGTCTTCAACCATCAGCCTGTGTGTTACCTGGTCCTCAGAAGAGCTCAGTAAGTAGTCTCCGGTAGCATGCAGAGAGAGGCCGGTAACACTGGCCTCGTGGGCCCTGATCACCTGCACGCAGTTGCCCCCGGTAACCGACCACACACGGATAGTGCTGTCTGGAGATGCGGAGAACACCACCGACTGACAGAGAACACGTGAAGAGACATGTGAGAACTGAAGACTAACCAGAAATGAGTTTATGAATGAAGAGCGGGAGCGATGGCCTACCTGAGCAGGGTGGTAGATGACAGACGAGACCTTTTTGGTGTGCCCTTTGAGGGTGGCAACAATCTGCTCCTCTCGACGGTCAAACACCACCACGTTCTTATCAGCACCACCTGGGGAGAGCATATCAAAAAAACTTTGAACCAGTGCATATGTGGGTCTGTCTTCAGGAGCAACACGGTGCCATCAACATGCAGTAACACTCGGGACAGTAAGTGATGTATGCATATAGTCATAAAGCCCTCTCCTCTATATCGGAACAGAAGTGCTCAAAGGAGACATGTTCAAAATATACAAGTCTGATGACTGGTGATCAAATTGTGTTTGTGTAACTGTGTTGTAATGGTACCGGTGAGGACTTTGTTGGTGTCTGTTGGGCAGAGATCCAGAGAGAGGATTCCTGGTATACTGGCACTGTGAAGACCCTATTAACGAGGAAGAAAAAAAAAGGCATTATTTTGAGATGAGTTCAGTTCCAAACACTGCCTGGAACAGAAGCTGCCTGCTGTCTAACGTAGGATTTGACCTAATAGGATGCTAAATGAAATTCAAGATCATAAGTGACTAACTCAAAACCATAAGCTAATAACATGATACTGTAATAGGGATAAAAATACATAAACACAAACATTGGATGCAACATATTACAATTTCAGATTTAACCATTTACAGTGCTCAGCGTAAATGACTACACCGCCTTTGAAAAGTAACATTTTAAACAATATCTCAATGAACAAACAATTTCCAAAATGCTGACAAGACTAAGTTTAATATAACATCGGTTTAACTTATAACATGAAAGTAAGGTTAATAATATAATTTAGATTACACATTTTTCAGTTTTACTCAAATTAGGGTGATGCAAAAATGAGTACACCCCACAACAAAAACTACTACATCTAGTACTTTGTATGGCCTCCATGATTTTTAATGACAGCACTAAGTCTTCTAGGCATGGAATGAACAAGTTGGCGACATTTTGCAACATCCATCTTTTTCCATTCTTCAAGAATGACCTCTTTTAGAGACTGGATCCTGGATGGAGAGTGATGCTCAACTTGTCTCTTCAGAATTCCCCATAGGTGTTCGATTGGGTTCAGATCAGGAGACATACTTGGCCACTCCTTTAAGTAACACCTTTTTATAGTCAACTGTCTGCTGGACACCTGTGTAATGAATAATTAGACTCACTTGTGGTTGAATTCTTGTTAAATTAGACATTTGTAGACTAAAATGTGGCTTTGCTCCAGACTTTCAGTGGGGTGTACTAATTTTTGCATCACCCTAATCTGAGTAAAACTGAAAATGTTGTTCTCCTAGTTATATTTTTAACCTTACTTTCATGTTATAAGTTAAACAGATGTTATATAAAACTTAAGTCTTGTCAAAATTTTGGAAATAGTTTTTGTTCATTGAGATATTATTTGAAATGTTACTTTTCAAAGGGGGTGTACTCATTTACGCTGAGCACTGTAATTAATATTTGTTAATTAAATGGTTTAATTAATATAGGGCCGCAACAACTAATCACATCTGTGTTCTGTGCACTGAAAACATCTGCCGGTCACATTACTATAGACTAGTGAAAAAGCATTTCTATGGACAAAATGCATCTGAAATACAGCTGCTGTGGGAAAAGTGGATGACAAGTCATTACAAAACCCTGGACTTCACTGCATATAAAACACGTGGTAAAAAAGCACAATAGAATGAATAAAAATAAAATGTTTGAAGTAAAATAAAAGTGCTACGCCTGTTTCACACCACAGCTTGAGCTTCATGTCACTGTCACTACAGCTGCAGACTCGCCAGAGTATTCACACTGGAAGCGTTTGTACAGCGTCACTGCAGCGGCTCCAAAGCTACATATTTCTTTACAAAGACAACTATAAATTTGTTTTTAGAAGTTGGTCAGTTATAAACTTGAAAGTTTTAAAGTCTTGAAAGCTTGTTAACAACATGGGGATTCGCATGTAAATGAACAACAAAAACAGCTCAGTTCATGTCATTTCAGTCTTACTTTATTTTTATAATACGCCATACTTTCACCCAAACTGAATACTTAAAGGGGTCATATGATATTGCTAAAAAGAACATTATTTTGTGTATTTGGTGTAATTAAATTTGTTTGTGGTTTAAGGTTAAAAAAAAAACACATTTTCCACATACTGTACATTATTGTTTCTCCTCTATGCTCCGCCTTTCTGAAACAGGTAGATTTTTACAAAGCTCATCGTTCTGAAAAGCAAGGTGTGCTGTGATTGGCCAGCTATCTAGTGCGTTGTGATTGGCCGAATACCTCAAGCGTGTGACGGAAATGTTACGCCCCTCACCATACTGTTGATGCCGTGTCCCAGAGCAACGAGACAAAAACATTAAAACCGGCCACCGGTGGCAATATATCGGCCACCATATCGGTATCGGCCACTAAATACTAATTTTTTTTCCTCTTATCGGTATCAGCGGATAAGAAACTTGGGCCGATATCTTAAAGGCGATAAATAAAGCATTATTTCCTTCAGAGACACTTCAGATGTGCGCTGTTTACCATGATGGTTTTGAAATGCTTGAAATATGATTGGAATCACTTTGAAAAGGACAATACACTTAAGTGCAACATGTGCAGGGCAAGTCTGTCATAAAGGCTACATAAAATTATAAAGAGAACATTGTAAATAATGTTGTGGAATCTTTGTGCGCCCATGTTTTGTGCATGTGTTGAGCTCGTCCACAACGGAGCTGCCTCCATGACAGTTAAGTTCGCTTGTGCATTTGCAGCCTTTTGTGCAATTGTACGTTGTAATATTGTGTTTATTTGATGTATATCTGATTTCTCTCATATAGAATGCGTTTGGTTAAGTTATTAGAGCATTAATAGAGCGCTTCAGTTTACCGGTGATCATCTTTAGCTCAGTGCACGCAGCTCAAACAGCAGTGCACAACATTAATAACCATGATTGGGAATGTCATGCATATAAATTTTCTAATGAGATCATTATAATAAAACGTTGTGAATTCTTTGGGTTCAGTTGCCGTGTTTCAGCGAGTTGTTATGGGAAGACTAAGAGCGCATCCACAACAGGATCACACATTCTGACTATAGCACACAATAACTGCATCATTTTGTAAATATATAAGTTGCAATATTATGTTTATGTTGTATTAATATCTGATTAATCTCAGGATGCATTTCCTTGAGTTAAATAAGCTGCCAGCAAAGCACTTCAGTTCACAGTGTTCATTCAGCTCTTCAGCTTCAGCACGCGCAGCTTGAACAGCAATGCACAACATTAATAACTATAACTGGGACTGTCATATACATAACATTATAAAGAGAAAACTACCGAAATAAAAAGTTGTGAATTCTTTGGGGTTTATTTGCTGTGTTTCAGCGCGTTGTTACAGGAAGAGCCAAGAGCGCATCCACGAGTTACACATCTGACTAGCGCATAACTTTGTTCCAGATAACTTGTGCATTTCCGTCTTTTTGTGCATATACAAGTTATAATGTTTATATTCTATAAATATCTGATTCTCATATAGCATAATTAACTCGCTATAACAAGCTCTTCAGCAACAGCGCACACAGCCCAAACGGCTGCTATTTAAAATAGTGGTATTAATTTGTTACTTTTTCAAAATCATTGATGCATTATTAATAATAACCCCCACTTTTATTTTTATCCTTATTATTTATCAACAATATGGTTTAGTAATTAAAATTATTTAATTATTGTCACGAACATGAGTGCTGCACCTGCCTGTGATGAGGAGAAAATTTTTTGCATTAGAATGCAAAAATGGTAGTCGAATATTAGGAGTGCGTCAGGGAGCGTCATCAGTGGCGCGCGAGATGCGGTGATGATGATGTAAGTGACGTTGTTGCATTTGAATGTTTTGTTAGTCTAGCCCACGAGACGCGCCGCTGCTGCGTTATTCATTCAAAATATTAGAGAAATATAGTAGCTCAATGCTTAGAAGATCTTGATTAGGTTAAAACCGAAACCAAGCCATTCACACAGAAAGCATATTCAGCGCATTTTTTAGACTGACAAATATGACTGCTGCACTCGCGTCTCACACAAGAGATGTGTAGAAAGCCATGCAAAGTTAAAACGGTTTAAACTTTTAGAAAACACGTCGCAAATTTGTGGAGGTTTATTCCTTTTCACTGCGTCTCGTATGTTTTCAAATGCAATCTGTGTGATCGGCGATTCTGCTTTTTTTTTTTTTATTTGATGCCGTTTTGTTCATAATTGTTTATGCAATTTACGAAATTATATTTGATTTATATATGTTAATTTAGACGTTATGCACGTTTTTTTATGGACAGTTATTTCATTGCATTGGCAATTTAATACGCTGCATTGTTTTGCTCATTGCGCCCTCCTGAGACCTCGGTAGACAAGCCAAAAGTTTGCATAAGACTTATTTAATATGCATATAACACATAAGAAAGGAGATATTTGTTTACATTTTATTTTGTGTTTGACTGTTAAAACAAAAAAATGTGTTGTTCATCTCAAATTGGGTAAATTAAAAACACAGTGGTTAAATATAAATTTTTTTTTAAAGCTTTGTTTTAAAAACGGTTATAAAAAAATGTCAATAATTATAGATACCAAATGATATGAAACATTATATCGTTGATACATTTCTTAGCTATATCGCCCAGCCCTAGTCCGTGCAGAGGCTATTTCGTTTTACTGATCCATGGCGCATTAATTTTGATTCTTTACACGTGTAATGATTAGAGCCCGACCGATATATCGTTCTGCCGATATTATTGGCCGATATGAGCCTGTTGCCGATATATCGGTATCGGCGAATATGCCGCCGATATGATTTTTTTTTTACAGAACATATAACGCAGATAAAATGCTTGAAATTATGTAATTAATTAGTTTGTCCTCCATTGTTTGCTACTGGCGACCTGGATGAAACGCTTTAAAGCTTAAGTCTATGGAAAACCATTGAAACTTTGAACGGCCATATCTCCGAAACGGCGTGGCAAATCTGGACCAAATTCGGGGGATTCCTTCAGCTCGAGGAACCCTCTCGAACGCGAATCAATTGTACATCTAGAGAACCACTTTCGAATGAGACCACTGCCGTGTCGATAGCCCCTGGGTTTCGGGAGTTACGGGTGGTTAAATTCGCGGTCCGGCACCAACTGATTAGGGCTGTGCGATTTGGGGGAAAATATCAAATTGCGATTTTTTTGACAGATTTGATTTGATCAGACGATTTGATTTGCGATTTTAAATTTGCAAAGTCAAGCTTCAGCTCAATATTGTCAATAATGTGCAGCACAGTATGGGTATCATTACCCTGCTGAAAAAAACAATAGAAACCATCACAGAAATTCTTATAGTTTCCATTAAACCATTACAAAATTCCTTTTTGTTTTGGGCATTATTCCAATAGGAATTACTGTTGTTCTTGATGGTTGCCATCTGCCAGATTACATCCCACCAACAGAATCCTTCAAATAGACACCATTATAGTTTACATTAAAACCAAACAAATTCCCATTATAACCCTGAAATCCATTAAATTTGTTATTGTGTTTTGGGAGGGGATCTATTATTTTTTTCTTCAGCAGGCAAGATTATAATGGTATAACTACTTTTACAGAATTAACTTAATTACTGAATTTCACAGAAAATATTTGTTTATTTTTTATAAATAAAGAACTGTATTTCTTAAGTCAATTATTAAAGTATTACATTGATTTATTCATTTTAAGAGCAAGTGGAAAATGTGCTGAATGTTTCATTTCATCCAAGTGAAATTAGCAAGCAGTTAGACTTTTTACATTGAATTTACATTTAAATTTACATTCGTTTTAAACGCGGAGCCAGGCGCGAGACGACACAGGTTGCGCATGTGCGTCAAGCCTCATCCATACTGCTAGATGCGCTCGTGGAGACTTGCGGAGCCGGGTGAGAGTATAAACCAGCATTACGAGACAGGCTGTGTGTGCGGCAAGCATGAACGGCTCGTCTGTGAAGCGGGATTCGCGCCACGTGGGGCAGAGAGGAGCGAGTATGAGAAGCATTCACAGACACAGGCTGTGTGCGCACGCTTCTGAATTGGGAATAGCCAACATGCATTATAAACTTATTTCAAATTAATCTGTTGGGGAGATAACATTCACGTACTAACAAAAACATCTAAGAATGTATCTTTTATTCTCCAGTACTGAAAACAGAACCGATAACGGAGCTTTTGATATGCGCTGTGACACAGCTCTTGCAAATTACCTTTTTTGTTCATTGTAAGTCATTTCAAAGCTTAAGTTGCATACGGCCTAACTATCGATCTGACCCAGTAGACGCCATAATCCTACTCTGTCTCTCTCCCGTCCCGCCTTATTTTAAAAAAAAACTTTTTTAATGGTGGGTGTTTACGCTGTTGGCTAGAGCAGTACTGATTGGGGAGAACGGAGGTTCGCTCACTCTTGCCCAGGGCAAGTAAGATTGCAACTCAAGACTGGCAGTCATGCATATGCTCTGGAACAGAGTAATATCGCGTCCACAATCAAAGGCTTTGCGATTAGGAAATCGCAGCGTCTCAAATCGCGATTTCGATTCGATTAATCGCACAGCCCTACGACCGACTTCACATGAAATTCCGCCATGATTCCAGTTCCAAGGGAACGTACACGCTACAATTAAAGGGTATTAAAGTGTGCGAGATGTGAATTTATATTGTAATTATTTACAGAGGTATATTATGTCACACTTCTCTAATAAGTTCCGTCTGTGTGTGAAGACAGTAGCGCAAATCCGTGAATGAATGTTCCGAAGTGAAAAACTTCAACTGAATAAAGTTGAATGGAATTTAATTGAATTAAAGTTGAATAAACCTCAACTTTACTGTTCAGTGCACTGATGTCAGACTCATTTTGGATAATAGTTTGTTAAATTGTTAAATGCCCTGCCTCCATCATTACATATCTCTGTCACGTCATAAGTGTTTGATCACCACATTTGAGTGATCATTGCAAAAAATGTGTTTATGTATATACTGTATTCTATATATAGTACCAGTCAAATGTGTGGACATACGAATGGGAAAGTGTCCAAACTTTTGACTGGTACTGTACTATAATATACACAAAGAATATCGGCCGATATATCAATATCGGCCTTTTTTACACCCTAATATCGGTATCGGCCCCAAAAAACCCATATCGGTCGGGCTCTAGTAATGATGTCCAGTGACTTGTTTGCATTATTTATGCATTTTATTTAATTTATTTGGTAATGGGAGAGTAAAATTATTTTTACAATGTACACTGTTCAAACTAGGCTGCTTATGTTAAAGTGTGGCTTTTAATGATGAGACCTTTTTTGTAATCAGGCTCTCAAAAAATACATAAAAATGTGGATATAGATATTGGCTTTCAAAAATAAAGAATTATCGGTTATCGTCATCAGCCAAAATTTTCATATCGGTGCATCCCTAATCAAAAGTGTGCGGTCATTTCAATTGAGCGTAAGCAGCGCAGCAAAAAAAGACTCAGCGCCAAAACCATCACGCGACGCTCCTGCTCCCAGTGTGAATGCATTCATTTGTTAACATGCAGTTGAAAAACAAATATGCGCTGCTCAAGCTGGTGGTGTGAAACTGGCCTTAAGCTGTTCCTGCTCATCAAGCTAGTGCCACAAGAATTACCACAGTAAGATACCAGTGCATGAGTTTACAAACTCATTTACCCATATCTAGATATGCATTACCTGGTAATAATTATCAACACTCAAAAAAAAAAGCACATAATGCAGTTACTATTCCAACTTTAATAATTTTGTTTCCACTCCAATTCGCTGATGAAATATAAACATTTAAATGGTAATAAACTTGTTTTCATGACAGATTTATTCAAACATATATTGGTTAATGAAGACAACAGGTTAAAGTTTAAAACGTAATACAGTGCGTGTAGCATGAAAATGCTTCACTAGAGTTATTTTCTAGCTGATTAATGAGTTTATGGACATTGTGTGGCTTTCCTGTGGTAAATGTGAATGACATTGTTCACATGCTGTTTTACTGACGTCCTTCGCTGTTGAAACATTAATTGAGCGATTACATGAGACTTGATTCATTCCTGAGTTATACGGTCTTTCAACACACTTGATACTAATTGTTTGTTAATTGTTGTTTATTTCGATCGGTTCACCATGCTCCGCACTGCCGACTGAACTGAAACGTAAAATATTTTTGGAAAAAAAAAAAGAAAAAAAAAAAAGTTTATTTCGTCATAAGCACTAATCAAATGCTGCGGTTTTGGTAAATTATTTTTATAAGGATAAAAAAAAAAAAACTATTTAATATGCATTAATTGGAATTTTCAATAAAAAAAACTATATATATATATTTTAAAAAAAGCGATAGTTAAGTGAATCGAAGGGATGGTTACATTCTCTATATTCACTCAAAAGCCAAGTTTCTAAGCTTTAAATTGACACCCATTTTGTGTTGGTTACGCAACTGGTTAAGTAACATGATGATAACTTTGCAGTGCCTTCCACTTCAGGTTTAAGAGGTTAAGGATAACAAATAATCAATTAACTGATTGTTAATTTAAGCGACAATTGATCATGGGAACTTATGTAAAATAAACAAAATAAAACATTCCTAGAGTGAATAATGGAAAATTCTTACTGGCTACTCACAGCATGGGACGCCACTTGGCGATACTTGCTGAGATCTTCTGCTCTGACCAGGTCCTCCGGCACGGTCTTTCCTCTCTAACAAACAAAGCCATACAAAAGGTTAAGTACATTTATGAAGGAACACAATGCGACACACAGTGACAAAAAAGCACAATGCAGCACTGCAATTCAAATCCTCACCTTCTTTCTCTCGGTGGTTAAGACGGTGGCCTTGTCTTGGAGCTGTAAAAAAAGATAATGAGTTTCATTACCTTTGAAAATGTGATCTCATGCTGCTGAACATTCAACCATGTGGTACTTGTTTCAACGCACCTTCTGTATGATCTCTGGAGTCATTCCGACCTGCTCACTAACCTCCATGGCCTCACCGCCAGCACCCTAAGACATCAAAACAGTTTAAAAATACTATATATTCAAATAGATTGTACCATAAATGTTAGTGGTGGGAATCATTTGGACTCATTAGATTTGATTGGCCAGATTGGATACAAACCTCAGAATCAAATTTTGATTAAATATAGTTTGTTTTTATTGCTATACCAGCATCTATGGCTATTTTCATGGCAAGATCAATGCATGCTAAAACAAAAAAAATGGTATTAACATACAGTGGTAATGAACAACAACTAACAACCAACTCATCATTATAACCAGCATTAAGATCCATTTACACAGACTGCTTAATGCAGCTCAGATGTGTTATGAACAATTACACTGCAATTACAATTTTTATAAATAATGAAAGCGATTTGGGGTTTAAATACAAATGTTGAAATTGAGATGCACAACGTTTCTGCTGCGGCTTTGTTTGGAAATGCCATTGACCACTACATCACGCAGTGAAAGTGTGCACTCTCAAGGCGTGCTTTTGTTTTGCAAAGTACACTTTTTTTTTTCTCCCACCCCTAATGAATGCATAAATTGTCTGGAAGAAATACTGACCACAGCTGCAGGCTGAGAAGCAGGAGTGGCTTGTGGAGTGACCAGTCCGGCTTGAGGTTTGAGTGTAGCCAAAGCTGCAAGCAGAATAATTAACACGTCAGTAAAGGCACAGCACCATCAGCACACCCAGAAAGCCGCGCTTACCCTCTCTGGCGGCGGTGACCTCTTTCGTGAGACGAGCGATGACTCTGCAGGCCGCATCGTGCTGGTAGAGAGCGTGAGACAGCTCCTGTCGAGTGGTCTGCAACTGCTGCCTCAGAGTAAAACTGTGCAGCATTACGGCATCCTGGAGGACAGACAAACTCAATGACGGAGAAAGACATCACACATTTATTCGTCACACAGTCAGGCCAAAGAACTCACCCACTCATCCTGCAGAGATTTGAGGATCGCAGGAATACTTGTGGCCGAGGGAGCCTTCGGTCGAATGGGGTGAGACACTGAAAGTAAAGAAATAGATGCATTTTGTAGTGACCACAGACCATCTGAACTTCTCATGAAATCAGTGTCATCTCTGCCTCTGTACCCTTGATATCAATGAGCTGCTCCTCGGACAGTGGCTGTCCACTGATGGGGTCGGCTCCATTCTCTGCTATGTATTTCTCAATCAGACGCCTCTCAAACACTTGATTAGAAACAGGAGAGACACAGGGGTGCTCCGGCACCTCGCTCGAAACTGGCGTGAGAACAAGATTGATATTTTTTTTACAATTTCAATAAATAAGATGCATTCAAATCAACAAATATCAAGTCTCCTTCCTCTTCAGTATAACACACTTCATTGCAAGTACACCACTATCAATCAAATGTCTTATAATACGATATTCTCTAATAATAACAACATTCAACAGTTAGTCTAGACTCCACAAAACTTAACATTCACTTTTCTTTCCCCTTACGTTATGAGTATGTTTTGCTTCACGCACTATAAAGTTCTCAAGAGACAGCTCTAGCATCAGACACAAGCATGCAGTACTTTCAGCTCCACATTCCTTCGCTTCTAGTTTAATGAAATGCAGCGTAGAGAGCATAGGCATTAAAGTGTAGTTTCTTATACATAAAGCTTCTGCTAATATAGCACAACAATGGCTAACGCTGCACACTGCTAATCACTCATGCTAACAGAAACCAACTCGCTTACTAGCACAAACCAAAGACATCTCGCTCTAAAAGACGCGCTCCCGCTTTTCAAACAAAGCTGAAATCAAATCAACTCTTAAACTTTTAATCGACAGAGTTGATGATTTTTTTTTAAATCAATGACGGTGCAGCATGTCCTGAGTCAGAACACGTTGACGTGCCGTGCCGCTCAAACCGCAGTGCATGACGGGATACTGACTCCTCCAGAGCAGAGCGGAAGCGGAAACCGATGGTCTTCCTCCAGGAGGCGCACGCAGCACTTTAACTGAATGTACAAAGCTAACTGTTCCCACCAATGCCAAGATCAAACCTAACGCTACGCCCTTAAAAGATATTAACCTCTATTGGTAATCATCTTCTCAATAATAATAATAAGCGCCTGGATTCACATCTTGACAAAGCGCTGAGTAATGTAAACCAGGAATAACGAGAATGTGTGCATTTTAATATGTCTTAAAGAAACAAGCCGTCCAAAGACATAATAATACATGGTTAAATAACCTACCGAGTGATAACTCAAATAAAAGCAGTAGACTATTTTAGAAAGGAACATTTAAAAGTTGAAAAGAAGAATTAGGGAGAATCACTAAATTATGAATCATTTATTGCTATTGTAAACATGCAATCAATAAAAAGTCATTGTAGCCTGATTGCTAGTTTTTAAAATGTAATATAATCTAATTACAAGCACTTCAGTTTTGGAATCTAAATAGTAATCCAGATTACATGTAATCAGTTACTACCCAGCACTGTGTCACGGTATAAAAATCTAACAAATATGAACATATAAGACTAACCTTACTTTAATTGGATTAAGCATCACTTAAAAAAACCCACTTCTGTCTGGAATTTTATCCCTCTTTATGTTTTTCCAAATATTGGTGGTCTTAGTTTTGTTTTGATGTGTAATTATAATATAGATCAAATTCCAGCTAAGTTATCTGCCTTCCACAAACAAGTGCTCCTATCTTGGTCATTAACATATAAGCATAATTTTTCACTGCATCGCTGTTGAATGTATAATTGTTTAGTTGATTATTTTATTTACATATTTAGTGATATACTTTCAGCCACTGGTATACGGTCAAGATGTGCGTGTGGGTATTACAGCATTGTGACGGCAGAATAATAATAATGATGAAGATAACAACAATCACAAAAATTACAAGAAGTCAAAAGAAAATATTTATTGATGTTATAGACAAAAAAAATATTGCTTTGTCGTTCTGCAGTCCATAACAGTGAGCAAATGAATTCTCCAATCCCAGT